AACATCTCACTGCAAGGGTAGACCTTCCTCCAGAAATCATTAATTAAGAAAATTCCCTACAGCTGTACCTTATGGAGGTATTTTTTTAATTGAGGTTACCTCATTCCAGATAACTATCTTGTGTCAAGTTAACATAAGACTACCTATTACAATACCTTTGTTTATATATGGATTTGCTGATTAACTGAGAAAATTCTAGTAGAGATGAATGAAAGAGAGAATACAATTACATTTTCCTCTGGGCTTCTGTATGCTTCCCTGGGACTCCAGAGGAGTTGATAAAAGTCTGTGCTGAAGAAATTACATTGTGTCTGGAGAAATTAAAAGTTTCCCTTGGTGTGAAGAACCAGAGCAATTAAGAGAGCCAACACAGACAGAACATTCTAAACTATTGTTTTTAGTTTGATAACATCTCATTTTTTAAAATTTTAATTAATTATTTTATTTATTTGCATTCTATCCATTGCTTGCCTCCTGCTCCCCTCCCCACAGTTTCTTATCCCATTCCCCCTCCCCCTTGCCTCTGAAAGAGTGTCCCCTGACCCCCTCCTTGTATTCCTCTTCCCTGGCGCCTCAAATCTCTCAAGGATTAGAAGCATTTTCTCCCACTGAGGTCAGATTAGGTAGTCCTCTGCATATATATGTGCATCAAGGGTCTTGGACCAGCCCATCTATGCTGTCTGGTTGCTGGCTTAGTCTCTGGGAGCTCCCAGGGGGTTGGGTTAATTGAGACTGATGGTCTTCCTATAGGGTCTCCCACCCCTTTAGCTCCTTTACTCCTTCCCTTAATTCCTCCAGAGGGGTTCCCAACTTCAGTCCAATGGTTGGGTGTAAGTGTCAGCATCTGTCCAGTAGTTGGTAGGGCCTTTCAGAAGACAGCTATTCTATGGTCCTGTCTGTAAGCACATCATAGCATTAGCAATAGTGTCAGGCACTTAGTCCCCTATCCCCATCCCCCTTGAGATGGAGCCCAAGTTGGACTGGTCACTGGACAACCTTTCCTTCAGTCCTTCTTCATTTTTGTCCCTGAAGTTCTTTTAGGCAGTAACAATTCTGGGTCAGAAATGTTGACTGTGGGTTGGTAATCCTGTCCCTCCACTTGGGGGCCCTGTCTATCTCTAGAGGTGGACTCTTTGAGTTCTCTTTCCCCAGTGTTGGGCATTTTGGCTAAGGTCACCCCCATTGAGCTCTGGGAGTCCTTCACATCCTAGGTCTCTGGGACTTTCTAGAGGGTCCCCCACCTCCCACTCCCAGAAGATGCATATTTCCATTCATTCTCCTGGTCCTCTGCATGGAGAGGATACAGTACCTGTGCTGTTCTTAGCCCTTCACTAGGTGATCAGATGCCAGGGGATGGATGAGACATATGTCTTCCCCTCATGGATCACCCATTCCAGACAAGGGCATGAAGTAGGGCAATCTGTGCGTGCTGACAAAACGCAAAGTCAAGGAGCTATTAAAGATTCAGAAGGCTTTAGGCAAGATGGGCAAGCCAGGCAACAAATTGTCTCTCAGGAAGAGTCAGGAAATGTCTCTCATTTCCATTTTTTAAACTCTGAAAACAAGATAATCAGGAAGTGGATATTTTTGTCTTGAAACTTCAAAACTTGACACAGGAATGAATAAATGTTTTAACTTCCAATATCATTTTAATCTTTTGAAAGAATTTAAATCAAGCTAATCAAAATTTTGTCACTGTTTTGTGTGTTTTAAAACAATTCAAACACATCACATGATATCCAATACAAACAGCTTATTGAACAAGAAGTGTTCCATCTAACAGCAACTGAGTGACTTGGTTTCTGCCCCTGGAACAGAGCCAGCAGGGTGTGGGCTTCCACAAGGGGCTGGGGTCACAGGATGCTGAGTCATGGGATAATCAGAAGGGAACCTGGGGTAATGACTGAATTGTATGTAAATAAAAGACTAGGCTTTTGATCTTCAAGAGATGAACTATCCAGAGAGGTTTTAGACTTGCAAAAAAATCTATCTCCAGCAGAGAGCTGTCTGAGATCTCCAGAGGAAGCTGAGAGAGAGAGAGAGAGAGAGAGAGAGAGAGAGAGAGAGAG